AGCAATGTCTGGGCTTTAGATAGTAACAGAAGCAGTTTGTTTTGTTTTCTGAATACTTCTTTTGTCTGTCTTATGGGTGTAAGCTGTTTTGGAAATACATGCAAGAGTCATGAGGGAGTGATTCTTCTTTTATTTATAAGACTACAGATTTGAAGTCAGGTAACCAGGTTTGAGTCCTAGCCATCTCATCTGTTTATTGTCTGAACAGCCTAGTAGAAGTCATTCCATCTCTCTACTGGTTAGTTGCCTCACTGATAAACTGAGTCTAATGGTAGCTATTTCACAGGAGCACCAAATGACAAATATAAGTGAATAATAAAGCACTACCAAATGTTAGCTAATGTTTTTTCATTTTCCATGCTTGAGAGTGCATATGACTCATGGGCCCCCTGGACTCAAAGGGGAGAAGAGGGTTTAATGTGCTTTTATTGATTCCCGATAGGATCTAAGCCTTGTATAAAGCAGCATATGCATATGTATCGGTAGATGGATAAATTAGTCAGGGAGCATTACTGAGACCTAAGACAACCACTATTTGCCTGCTTTTCAAAGCACGGTAAATCTACATCTGAGTCTCAAATTGCAGTCAGCATGTCTAGGAGTCTGCAGCACATGTGCTCTTCTATTATTGAAGGAGACAGCTGACTAGTCAATGTAAACTTTATTGTAAAATTGTTTAATAGAATTCATAATGATGGGAGGACAAACACAATTGAGACACTAATGGAGGGTCTGAATTTGCTATGTGTAGACAAAGGGGCCTGTCAGACTTAGCATCAGGTATTGTTTCTCAGAGAAAGGTGGGCAATAAAAGAAAGTGACAACTAATGAAAGGGAACTCCCACTGATCATGGCCACCATCCCTCTTAACGAAGAGTAAAAAACAGGAGTGGAATAGCATCTACATTTTTGGTATAGTATATAAATACTATATGTATATTTTATCCCATTATACCCAAACTTTCTGCACCATTTGATACCCAGGATCCTTTATCTGTTGAAACTCTCTACACCTCAAATTATTGTGATACTACAGTGTCCTTGTTTCCCTCATACCGCTCTGACCAATCCTTCTCTGTCTCCTCAATGGCTCTGCAGTAATTCCTTAAGATTCTGTGGATATTCTCTTAGGCTCGGCCCTCACCATTATTAGACCCAATTTAAAACTTTTAGCTATTGTTATGGTTTCAAATATCACCCCTATACATATACTTTCCCAAAAGTTACATTAAGTCCCAACTTCTCCATTGAATGACAGTTGTGTATTTCTGAATGATTAATGAACAATCCCTGTGAAAATGTGGATGTCATTAGCAAATCGACATGTCTGGAGCTAATTGATTATCCCTCTAAATCGAATCCTTTACCCAATCCTTTATATCTGTTTGTTTAATCACCATATCATCACTCTGGAATCCGTACTAAATACTGTGGTCAAAGAAATCGCCTTCAACACATTATTTACCAAACCTCCAATCATTCTCTTGCTCAAAAAATCTCAATGGCTCCCTATTTCCTATTGGAAGAAAAATCTTATTGCTGTTAAGTGTCCTTAAAGAACAGGAGCTTCTGTGTTCTATTAATCTTTTTATCTACCACACCATCTGGTCTTGTGTACTGTACATCATAAACTACAACAATTTCTTATTGAATTGAATTAAACCCCTTGGGCTTCTATTCTCAGTTTCCTTAGTCTGGTCCATTCCTAACGCCCAAATTTGCCTACAGGAATGCTTCACAGTTTGTTTCATGCTATCAGTTTATTCACTTTCTCCTAAATGTGTTCATCTCATTCTTCCTTCCCATTTTTGAGCATGATTCCTCTTTTCTCTGTGCAGTTTTCACTCTCTTCGAAGTTTAGCCCAATTTCAAACCCCCTCTCATAAATGCTTCCCTGATTCTTCTAGTTCACATTGATCTCTATTCTCAGTGAACTCCTAATCTTCTATTAGAGTTTTGTGTTTTTTTGACATTCCTTGATATGTAACGATCATATTTCTAATTATTCCTAATTATCAAACATACTTTGATCTTCAACTTTTTCCTCTTCCTTACTTATGACTATATTGCTATTTTACTTTTGAATTGCTTATATAATTCTTCCTATGTATTCAATTTGTGTGTCCAGCTGTACTATAAAGACTTTAGGGGAAAATACTATGTCATTTTTTCTTGTATCACTTCCATATTCTAACACTATGCTCTGAAAAAAGTAGAGGCTCAATAATATTTGTTACATGAATATTTAAATGAATACAGGGGAAATAAAATATAGTGAAAGTGGATATTTATTGCAATTAATAGCTTTGAAATAAATACTTCAAAGAAAAAAATTCTGTATTTTTTAATATGATGCTTTTAGGTTTTTTGAATACCATTTTCCTTTATTATTTGACCTGTAACTTTATCAGTCCATTAGATAAGAAGAGAATAAAGGCTAATGTATGTACATTTGTTTTGTGCACCATCAGTTATTGACTATAAAGTCATTAAACATTATGTAACAGCTAATGAAGGAAGTTTGAGAACCCATGGAGAATTTCAAGGCAAGAGTAGAGACTTACTTGGAATTATATTGGTAAAGTTTGACCTAAGGCTGGTAGAATTAATATGATATTTACTTCCATATATGATTTACAAAGCAAGAAAACAGCTATTTGAATAGGAGATAAAGAGATCAAACTCTTGACCACGTTGCTTTTACCCAATGTTTTAATTCTATCACTCATATATGTAATTAGCTTAGCACTAGACAAAAATGATTTTGTTTTGTAAGAGATATTCTGTCATTTTCCTGGCATTCAGAGGTTGAAAGTTTCACAGACCTTAAGATCCACCTCACCAATTCTTCCACCCAGGCTTCTTAATATTTATCTTTCATTTACTTTATCACTGGCCTCAGGTGGTTTCTTTTCTGTAAAACATTTATATTTAAGTGATTCTAATGAAATTTCTTCTCTCATGTGCAACACAAATGCTCTCATATTTACAATGAATCTCACTAAAAACACACATTGTTTTGGTAAATAAGATGATATGATAAGGGTTGGAAATGTCAATGTGGAGGCAACTGTTTTGCTGTCAATGAGATATGTTAATATTTATTGAATATAAGAGCTAAGAGGTATGAATTACACCTATTTTACAGGTTTTATGTACAATTTTATATTCAGTTCTATTTGCTCACAGTTGGGGTGACTGTGTGTTTGTGTATGTGTTTGAAGAAAGTACAATTTAACTTGCAACATGACTAGAAGGAAGAAATAGATAACTATTAAACAATTAAGATACACAAGACTTCTCATTTATTACATTGCCGAGTTTACATGTGGTTACCACAAGTGATAGAATGTTGACAATCAAGGGATTTTGAGTAAAATGACCAGAATTCCACACAGAGCCCTCAATGGCTTTGTAATTTGTAAAGGCAATTACTGAGCAAGAGCCTTGGTTTTATATCTATTGGGTTTTCAGAAAAGTCATGACATATCTTTTCTGTTTTCTGTTGCAAAAATGCATCATGATTTTTTCCAACAACCCAATATTCAATGGCAGTAATAATAGAAACAATTTCATGGAGACTTGTGAAGTGAAACAATGCATTTGAAAGTGCTTTGACTAAAAATTAATATTTTCAACAATTAAATTTAAGACAAGATCCAGAGTCATTTCAACGGCTTTTCAAACACTGTGATCTGGTTTGTAGTAATCCACCTGATCTCATTTCCTTCACTCTGCCTCCAGCTCATACTATACCAATAACTTCAGCTTATATGTGTCCCTTAAATACACACAGCTGTTTTCTACCTCAGGGACATTGCAAGTGATATTATATTTATTATATGTAGCTTCACTATACAGCTTATTTAAAATAGTGTCCAATTCTTCATTACTCTGTTTTTATTTTACCTCATTTTATTATTTTTCTAGTACTCACTACTAACATTGTATATTTTATTTTCTTTATTGTATGTCTCATTCTATATAACTAAACTCCCCCCAAAATATAAATGAAGATTTACCTGTCTTTCTTGCTGCTCAGTCACCTCAGCAACTACAACAGTATCTAGTACATAATAGATGCTTAATAAATCAAATAATGCATGTGTGAATGAATGAATGATCTTTTATTGAGTCCTTGTTCTGCATACAGAAGCAATTTACAAAGTGTTTTATATGATCTAAGTTTATCATTAAAATGGACCTATTGCTATTTCTATTTTATAAATGAAGAAAACACAGATGCCATGAGGTACAGTAACTTCCTTGATGTAAACATAGCAACTGATGGAAACTGAGGTGCTTGACTCTAAAACCTTGGTTCTAATCACTGCTATGAAGCCGCTGCTTATCCAGCTCTTTTTATATTAATTGATGTTTGATTCCACTGTTATGAAAATAGACTGAATTGACTATCAAAAGAACATTTATAAGGCCGGCCAAGTGGCTCGTTGGTTAAGAGTTGGCTTGGGAGCACACGCTCTGAGAAGCAGGGCTGCCGGTTCAGATCCCACATGGGCCAGTGATGCTGCGCCCTCTATAGCTAAGATTCTGGACAACAGCTCGACCTGGAGCTGGGCTGCCATGAGTTGCCGGTGATGGCGTAGGCTGCAGTGGGGCTGCAGTGGGTTGTTGTAAGCTACTGTGAGTGTCCATCCAAGGGCCAGTGACTGATCTGCCTCAGCCAGGAAGAGTGAAATGATCATAATACCAACATGAGTCAGTGAAGCGACGTCCTCCACAACTAGACTGAAAAACAAAAGGACAGCAACTTGTCTGTTCCCCTTCCCCTATTCCCTTCCTCCAATTCCCCAATAAAATATTTTTTTAAAAAAAGAATATTTATATAGCTTCATTTGATCCTCCACATAAATGAGTATGTTCAGTAGCTAAAACATAAACCAGCTCCTAGAAGCTCAAAAGCAAGCATTGAAAAACATTTGAGAACAAGAATACAAAGAGTCAGGTTCACCTTTACAGGTGACTAAGGTGTGACTCACCTCCAGGTGACCAGCTATGGTAGCAATATGTAGGGCAGTGAGGCCACCATACCCAACCTGCTGTATGTCAGCTCCACTGTGAAGCAGGGACGTGATCAATTCTGCACTGTCCTGTAAGGAAACACATCTTTAGTGGTGCTTTTCTACTAATAGCCGGTTTGAATGCTGTGTAACAGGATGTATCGATTCCCTGACTGTCAGCCGGTTTAGGTGCTCAAAGAAAACCTGTGTGATTTCTGGCATAAGAGCACATGAGATAGCAGACAGCGGCTCTCAGATGGTTGAAATGGAGGAACAAATGATAGGGCCATTCAGTTACAATCAATCCTCTACCACTTGATCATGAAAGACAGAAAGGACATTTATCTATGGTGTGGCTCTTGCAAATTGAACTCAATCTTATATGTAGGTCACTCCAATAAATGTTATTTCTCCAGCAACTTCAGTATTGAACTGACTGCAGTGGACTCTTTCATGGTAGTTCAGTAATTGCTTCTTCTCTGATACATATGTGTCATGGGTCTATACATAATTAATGACACATAGTATCACGGGCCCTACACATAATTAATCAATAGTTTCTTTCTTAACTTGACTCATTTTAACAGTGAAAATGTTTGTGGCATTATTTGAGCCTTTGAATTAGAATAATTTATGCAATGACCAAAGTAATCCTTACTTTCTTCACACTATTATTTGCATTGTATTTCTGTCTTTGAAGAGACATAGAACGTTTTAATAATATTAATAGCAATTAACATTCATTGAATTTTTATTATGTAATTAACCTTTCATATGCATTAATTACTTAAACCTGGTACATGGCAGGACTACAAAAATAGTTGATAAAAAAAAGTAAATATTTCCTAAATAACCCTATGAAAGACTATTATTATTTATAAACTTCATTTTATGAGTCAGGACAGTCAAAACTGTGATGTGGAGGGTAACATAGTCACAAAACCCCAGATTTGGAGGGAATGCAAAGAAGGTCTTAAGATTTAACTTTTTCCCTCAAAGAAAGAATGCAAACCACAGCTTCTATTATGCTTGGCCCTTCAACATCTCCAACATAGCCAGTGACAAGAAAGTTAAATCTTCACAGGATAGACCATTGCATATGTATATAATTTCAAATTCTGTTGGTTAAGAAAACTGTCCCATTAAAAAACAAAGTTTAATTTTTAATGCTGTCACATATACGCGAAAGTTGAAAAATTATTTTAGAAGGTGAAAAAAATCTTTGGTAAAGACCTTCAATAGCAAAATTAATGTTACACAGGCATACGTTAGAGATATTGTAGGTTCATTTCCAGTCTACTGCAATAAAGGGAATGTTGCAATAAAGCGAGTCACACGAAGTTTTTTGGTTCCCCAGTGAATATAAAAGTTATGTTTACACTATACTGTAGTCTAATAAGTGTACAACATTATGTCTAAACAAACAATGTACATATCTTAATTAAAACTACTTTATTGCTAAAAAACATTAACTATCACCTAAGCCTTCAGCAAGTCATAATCTTTTTGCTTATTGAGGGTCTTGCCTTGCTGTTGATGGCTGCTCATTCATTAGGGTGGTGCTTGCTGAGGTCTGGTGTGGCTGTGGTGATTTCTTAAAATAAGACAACAATAAAGTTTGCTGCATCAATTGACTCTTCCTTTCATTAACAATTTCTCTGTAGCATGCATTTCTCTGTAGAATATAACATTTCTTGTTTGATATAATTGTATCCACAGTAGAATGTCTTTCAAAATTGGAGTCAATCCTCTCAAACTTGACACAGTTTTATCAACTAAATGTGCATAATATTCTAAATTCTTTGTTGTCATTTTGACAATCTTCACAGCATCTTCACCATGAGTAGATTCCATTCCAAGAGACAACTTTCTTTGCTCATCCATAAGAAGCAACTCCTCATCTGTGAAAAGTTTTATCATACGATTGCAGCAACGTAGTCACATCTTGAGGTTCCACTTCTAATTTTACTTCTCTTGCTATTTCCACCACATCTGCAGGTACTTCTGTACTGAAGTCTTGAACCCCTCAAAGTCATCCATGAGGGTTGGAACCTACTTCTTCCAAACTCCTGTTAATGTTACTATTTTGACCTCTTCCCATGAGTTACAAATGTTCTTAATGGCATCTGGAATGGTGCATCCTTTCCAGAAGGTTTTCCACTTACTGTGCTCACATCCATCAGAAGAATCACCACTATCTATGGCAACTATAACCCTCCAAAATGTATTTCTTTGATAATAAGACTGGAAAGTTGAACTTACTCCTCCATCCATGGACTGCAGAATGGATGTTGTGTAGCAGGCACGGAAACATGAATCTCATTGGACATCTCCATCACAGCTCTTGGGTGACCAGGTGCATTTTCAATGAGCAGTAGTATTTTGAAAGAAATCTTTTTTGTTTTTTCCTGAGATTAGGTCTCAACAGTGGGCTTAAAATAGTCAGTAAACCACATAAACAGGTACACTGCCATCCAGGCTTTGTTGTTCCATTTAGAGCCAGGCTGAGTAGATTTAGCATAATTTTGAAGACTCCCAGACTTTCAGAATGGTAAATAAGTATTGACCTCATCTTAAAGTTACCACCTGCATTAGCCCCTAACAAGAAGTCAGCCTGTTCTTGGAAGCTTTGAAGCCTTGAAGCCAGACATTGACTTCTCCTCTCTAGCTATGGAAGTTCTAGCGGCTTCTTTTTCCAATATAAGACTGTTTTGCCTGCACTGAAAATCTGTTGTTTAGTGCAGCCACCTTCACTTTCTGGGCTTGATCTGAATAAGTTGCTGCAGCATCTACATCAGCACTTACCACTTACTTTGCACGTCTGTTATAGAGACAGTTTCTTTTTTTAAACCTCGTGAACCAACCTCTGCTAGCTTTAAACTTTCATTGGCAGCTCCCTTCCTCACCTCTCTTAGCCTTCAAAGAATTGAAGAGAGTTGGGCCTCACTCTGGATTAGGCTTTGGCTTAAGGGAATGTTGTAGCTGTTCTTGTCTTCTATCTTGACCACTGACATTTCCTCTGTATCAACAATAAGGCTGCTTTGCTTTATTTAGCGTTTGTGTGTTCCCTGGAGTCGCAGTTTGAATTTCCTTCAAGAACTTATTTTTTCCGTTCACAACTTGGCTAACTAATGGCACAAGAGGGCTAGCTTTTGGTCTGTTCCAGCTTTCACCATGTTTTCTTGGGTATGTTTCATCATTTCTAGCTTTTGATTTAAAGTGAGAAACATGCAACTCTTCCTTTAACTTGAACTCTTAGAGACCATTGTAGAGTTATGGATACGCCTGATTTCAGTATTGTTGTCTCAGGGTATAGGGAGGCCTGAGGAGGATAGGGAACAGCTAGTCAGCGGAGCAGTTAGAACACACACTACATTTATCGGCTAAGTTCCCTGTCTGACACAGGCATGGTTCGTGGTGCTCCAAAACAAGTACACTAGTAGCATCAAAGGTCACTGATCACAGATCATCATGCAAATATAATAAAAATGAAAAAAGTTTGAAATATTTTGAGAATTACCAAGATGTGACACAGAGACATGAAATGAGCAAATGCCCCTGGAAAAATGGTGACAATACATTTGCTCAATGCAGGGTTGCCACAAGACCTTCAATTTGTAAAAAATGCAGCACCTACAAAGCCATATAAAGCAAAGTGCAGTGAAAGGAGGTAATCCCAGTAGTTTCCAAATCTTCTACTCTGCACACCTGCTCTAACAAAAAGTTAAATAAAGATGTCATCTCCCTTTACTGTTCCATTGGCTCCTTCTGCTCAGTTTATGGACTTAATTTTCCCTATTCTTAAAGCAAAGCAAAGCAAAACAAAACAAAACAAAAGCTAATTTTATCTCTAGCCTTTTCCTTCATTTTTTAAGCTTCTGGAAAAAGTTATTGACGCTCACTGCTGATAGCTCTGATGTTATTTCTTTAGTCATTTCTAGCAATGTACACCCTAATCTTGCATAAATCCCAAATGAGTTCACCCTACTCCTTACATATTGAACCTTGCCTCTCCTCATACTATCCCTTCTCACTAAGGTATATTTGTTCTCCCCTTTCCCTTGCCCTGTATTATCAGGAGAAATCACCTGAGACATTAAGACCTCACCACTGTCCAGAAGTCACTTCCCCAGTTTCAGGAAGTTATCTTCTGTTTATCAAATCTAATGTCAATCATCTTCCTCATCTCTGTAGTCAGATCATCTTCTGATAGTCCTTCTTTCTTTTGCTTTCATCAAACCATGTATTCCTGATTTCCTCCTCTTTGCCTTTTCTTTATCTGTCTCTAAAAAGTGAGTGATATAGGAGTTTAGCTCTTTCTCATCCTAAATGCCACCTTTGGTAATTCGTTCACAATCTGATAACTTTATCTTTCATCCTGACTTCTCTGCTAAGTCCAAATCTCATATATCCTGCCTTCCAATGGCATCTGAAATTAGAAATTCAAAATTGCTCTTGTAAATACCATTCATAATTTTCCCAGTGGGATCTGTCATCTCCTATCATGCCTAATCTATATTAATGGCACTTCCTTATTCCAAGCGACCTTGAGTCCCTTCAACTCAATTAGTTTTAGAATTCTGCTGGTTTTAGTGGGCTAATACTCCTCACACGTCTTTTCTTTATTTCTGTCATCACCCTCTATTTTACATAGCCTCCTAACTAGTCTCTTTGTCTAAGCTTTTTCTCATCGTAGTCCATCCTCCACACTGCTACCAGATAAGTTTTTTTGCACACAGTTTTGATTACATCATTCTCCTTTTCAATACAGTTATTAGACACTCAGTCAATATTTAGTGAGACTGTACAGTGTGTGAAACACTGTTTTGAGCTGTGGAAACAATGCAGTGAGTACAACAGTTAAATCCCTGCTTTCATGGAACTTACATTTTAACTGTGTATATGTGAGAGGACAGAGAGAGAATAAACAAATGAGAAAATATTACCTGAAGCATCACAAAGTACCGATAGCTATAAGATAAAAATAGACCAATGAGAAAGTGGATACTTTAATTTGATTAGTCAGGGGAATCTTAATTGAGGATGTGTTCATTGAGACAAAAACGGTAAATACGAAAAAGATGAAATCC